ACACAAGTCCAACGCGTGTAATATGCGGCACTGTTACGTGATACACAACATGCTCCCGGACAATATCGGGCATTGTTTGGCTCGTTTCGGTTTTTATCCGACTTATATAATTCTATTTGAGTGTACTAAGCCCGGAGAACGTGCTGAATAAAACATTGCGAACGTTTCGGGCGGTCCATTAGTGATGAAATTTAGTTCCCCGACGGCTACACACACTTGAAGATGGGTTTATTTTTGTGGGAATTTATTAATAAGATCAAGATATGAGTCGACTATTATCAAAGCCGGCAATCTGACTTTTGGACAATGATTGGTAAATCAGAAAAACGAATTATTGACTTTGTATTCCACTGGCAGTCACAAAACTCTTCGGAACGACATCTTAGATAAATAACAGGTTAACTATTAACCTTTATTTAATGCAGGTTTTGAACCGTATTCTTTGAAGGAGACGATTATATTCAAATCAATCTGTATTGACATACCAATAAAAAAATTTTGTCCAAATGCACAGATTGCCACCTTTGATAATAGACGACTCATATGATGTACATATTTAAAAAAAATATCACGCGATTCATATTTGGTTTATGTAAAAAATTATGCCATGTGATTGCCAATTTAGTTTCGCCGCAATACTCATATTCTTTCGTTATTTTATAGGATCCTATTTTATCTCCCACCGCCCCTACCTCAAAAAAACGTTTAATGCCTTTGTGATACGCATAATTTTTTGAAAAAAAAAAAAAGGAATATCTGACAATGTATTCATTGTTCATTCATTCATTGATACATTCATTGATTATCATGCATTCATTGATCATTTGTTCCCCATCCAGACAATTCGATTGTAAAATGCATCACCAGCTTCAGTAAAAAAGTTTTAAACTGCTTTTAAAGAATAATGAGGGAATATTACTTATATATCTGTTTAGTACTGTTTCTACGTACATTATTCATTTTTTGTAAACTGTTGATTTATTTCCTATATTACCTTTATGGTATATTGTTATGCATTTATTATTATTATGTTATTTAAGATTATCATCTAAGGTATACTATTGTATTTTTCTTAATTTTTTAAGAATATAACAGCGGTTGCCTGGAAGATATCTTTTTTAGCCGTAAGAACGACGATTGTGCAAATTTCACCTATCTCTTGACTTTTGTTCAATGTTAATTATGTTTTGATGTGCAATAAAGAAAAAAACTCTCTATATCTCTCTCTCTTTCTAAAATTGTAATTGGAAACGAAATTCAAGGTGTTTCTCATGACTAAGCGCGAGTAAACTAATACTCTAACATAATATTATAGCAGTAATTCTTTATTGAATTAATTATAAATAATTTTCATTTTGATATTTTCGAATTTGATGCTGTAGTGTAACGCAAAATAACTGGTAACAATCGTTTCCTCGAAACATTTGATTCTACGTGTCCGTTGATTTTCTATTAAGATACATTCTGCGCAAAAATAAATTTCAAATAAACATATAGGACTGCCACTACCAGTCCGCATTACGATTCGAAGCATCTTGTATAAAATATATTCATCCCTGTTTCTATCCAAACATGACATCAGCTTACTAGTATATAGTAATTTTCGTGACAATAGATATGCACCAAACACGTTAGCTTGTTTAATTTTTGACGTGACAACGTCTTATAATTCGATGGAGCCGGCTGCACGCACGAAAAAACATGACTCATTGAGGCGTTCCATTTAAGGATTGAAGTGCAAGCGAGAGCGCCCAACTAGCGACAAAGAGGCACAATCGGCCTCCGCGTTCGGCAGCGTTCGACATCTGTCTCTCTCTTACTTGAGTAACAGCTGCTATACAATAATACATTTACATGTTTTCGTCAAATATGAAGTTCAGTGAAAAGTGAATGTGGTGTCAATTGTCCATACAAAATATCTATCAAATAAATAAAATTAAAATTTTCTTTAAAAAAATGAAACCATTCCATCAGTATTTTCTTATGACGTTGTCACGTTCAACTATCGTCAGTAAACCGACTTTACAGACAACCGATTTTTTTTATGCTCCGTATCACATGAGTTGGGGCCCAATCCGGTATTGGTTTGATACCACGTCGTAGTCTTATTAGTGCAAAAATAGCAGGGACACGAAACTTGGCGGTCTCAACCAGAGCTGGCTTGTTGCATGATACTTAACACTATTTGCCAAATTACGTGACCACTTATCTAATTTTTCTTTAGATAAAACTAATTTTATTTATCCAAAACCTTCAAAACAGGTAATTAGAAAACTTGGTCTCAGAAATTATATGCGGACACTGTTACAGTCAGCCACGCACTGAACAAGCGATACGATTATTTCAATTAGTAACTTCAGTGGAAATTGTTTTTGATTAAATATTATTCATTTAATTGCGTGCGTTCACTGAGCTCACGTGCGCCACTTGGTGTTAGTGACTATCGAAACTTGTAGACATGGCAAATTGGACAATTGTCTTGCGACACAACTGAATTCTGAAATCTCATTTCTATTGTATCTAATACGTAATAGGGTTGTCCCGACACTCGCGCCAGAACTCATGATTACTTCACGGCAGAGATAGGCAGGTTGGTGGTACCCATTTGTATGGTCACGCAGTACTCCACAGCGTGCAGACTTACACGACGCTTATCCAGCTTTTAAGACCAATAATACCTAGCTTTTAAAATTATTGTTTTTATAACAAAACGCTCATTTTCCATTATAAGATAATTTTTTTATTAATATTCATTTAAACAGACGCTCGAGATAATTAATTAGAAGTGCAAAGAGGTGATTCCATTAAATAAATTGTTTTAGAAATTAAAATACAAAAGACTGGGTTGTTTTTTTATTTTATTTCTTACAGTTACATCTTTGGTAAGTACAATAGTTAATACAAACAGCTTTGGGTTGATCTGTCCCGTATTCATTCTTTGGTACCTACTGCGGTAAAAACAATAAAAAAATCCGTATTCACTACTTTTAGAATTACAGCTGTTCTATCTACATACATAAAAAAATGCATTTCGAAATTCTGTTACATTTACACAAGCTTGCATCTGACAAATATCCGAATAAAACAAAGTTTTTATAGTTTTCAAGTTACAGATAATTAAAAATCTTAGAACTTGGTCCAAATTTAGTAAATTTCAATTTAGTTTCTTCGTTTATTATATAACATCTATTGAGTAGTTTTTCACGGTTTTCACAATACTGGACGTTATTAAAAATGCTTTTACGGTTTAATTTCGCTTTTAAATTATCTGTATATGCATATATTTAAACGTATATATGTATTATGTATATGTCCGTATTGTCAGTCTCCGGTATCATAACAAAGGGAATCCTAAGCTGGGGCCTGATGATCATGTTAATTATTATCATTACAAATCATTACCAATTTTCCAAATAAAGTATTTAACGCGTGATTAAACCGTAAAACTATGTAGTTTCAATTATATTCACTGAGTATTTTGAGTTTGGATACGATAATATTAAATGAAGCTATTGGTGTTATATTAGATATTGTGTGTCTCACCTTTTTTTTTTTTTTTTATTGCCCTTGTAGGCAGACGAGCATACGGCCCACCTGATGGTGAGTGGTTACCGTCGCCCATGGACTTCAGCAATGCCAGGGGCAGAGCCAAGCCGCTGCCTACCGAATGTTGTCACCTAATGTTGCTTTGGTAGTGCAAGAGTTATTCGATAATTTTGGAATGAATTTTCAAGTCTAATTCATAGGTGTCATGAAAATCTACATTAGTTTTGGTGTTTTTGGACCCAACAATCAAACAAACGTATATGCAACAAATGAACAAAAATATAAGAATTTGAATTACTGAATGTACGCACTCCGGTTATAATTTAATAACAGTATAATATCTTAACGTTGCTGACGTCCATGAGCCACGGTAACCAGTCATCATCAGGTGAGCCGTATGCTCGACTGCTTACACAGGCAAAAAAAAAATTATAAACATGAAAATGAAGTCTCTGAAAATTTAAGTATTGAAAACATAGAGAACTTTAAATTTTAAGAAATAAACTCGAAATCACAACGAATAAAATCTTTAGGTCTAATTTTCAATAATTCAACTGCTATTAATACCTGGAGATTGACATTTATTATGAATATTTGGGTTAATAAGAGGGAAACCCGTGTCTCATATTATGATATTACATCAATACATTATACTTTAAAATGAGTATAATAAATATGTTATAAATAAGTTACGATGAAGGATGATACATCATTTGTACAGATATATTTGGAATCCAAGTTTTGGATTAAATTATTCTAAAATTACAATTTTATGTATCGTTTCATATAATCTTTATTTGGTTTAGTTATTATTACACAGTCCTTTAAAATTTCTTAGACTTAAACTTCTTTGGAAATTATTCTCTTTCACATAAGTATTATTTTATCACGAATAATATCATATAAACCTACATTTTAACCTATGATTAAATGGAAATAGTCGTTTCGTCTAAATTTGTAAAAAATGTATCAATCCTTATTTAAGTATTTGATTTACATATTATAAGAGACCATTTAAATAATTGTTATGATTAAATACTTACTACGTATATCTTTGGAAATAGATATTTCATTTTTAAACGCTTTTTCTAATACTAGTGAATGTTTTTGTTAAGTTATGTATGGTTCTACGATAATATAATGCGGTTGATTTTCATTTCATTTTAACAATATTCGAGGTTAATTGAGTCGGATTGTAAAGCTATCACTGACTTATAATAATATAATCTTAATAAGGAAAAATTATACAATTAATATTTCTATGTTACCAACGTATTTACAATAGTAAATATATTATTTATTACACGTATTAAGGATACACAATAATGAAAAATTTTGGAATGATTTTCATTACAATAGTTATCAATCAATGTTTGTCATTTGAATTTGTTTGCGATATTATTTTTTAATAATTGAAATTAATTGGAAATTGGCATTTACAGTATGTTAGATAATGTACATATATTGAAGTAGTGAAATATGTTGATTATAAAATACTATTTATATGTGAACAAAGAAAAGGACTTTTTTAATGTAAGACATTTTGGTGACAATCGATACAGAAAAAAATGGTCTGTACAAATCGCAAATGTTTGAATGCACATTATACACTTGCTAACAATAAAGTGATATCCAATTTTATTTACTACATACAACTAAGTTATAACAATTACAGGAGTTATTGAAATACTTCTAGTCCTTTCAATCAATTTTCATAGCAGCACCTTTATTTATTTTTTCTGTTTCGTTACTTTTGTTCAATCAAAACTCTGATGTGTTTGACACCACAGAAACAATAATATCACACGTTGATATCGTACATAAACAATGTACAATATTTTAACGACGTCCACTAATACAAGAAAATCTATGCTAATTAAATTTATACTTTAGGTTGGTTTTAATTATTTACATTATATGAACAATACAATTTAGATTAAGGCTTTAAGTTTTTCATTATTACCAAATTCTAAAATCTTGATTCCATAATCAATTTAATAATTCAAAATGGCCTTAGAAATATAGAGCACAGAAGCTATATTGGGAATTACTTAAATTGTTTTTGTCTTCGCTTTATCAGTTAGTTCAAATTAAATCTATGGAGAAAACATTGTAAAACCGTCCCTAGGTTTTTTTATTGAAAACTTTTTCCAATGAACGTTTCAATAAGAAACCAAATCAGCACGTTCATTCCACATAGTGATTTAAACCATTAATTGTAAGTAAATTAATAATTTAACAGCAATTAACGATGCTTGTAAATTTTCCTCATCGTTCGAACCAACTGGTAGTTTGCAACTCACATACTTTTTATCATGCTATACTCTATACTATAATAACAATTAATTTCCATCAGTACTTAGTTGTGTATAAAAAAGCTACGTCATTTATCTTGATAGCATTCTACGACAATGGGCCTATTTGCTTTGACGCATCCCCGTACGTTAAGAAATCATCGGTAGTTTTAACTTCTCCACTATGGATATTCATTAAAAATATTATATTCAAATAATGGGACATCCATATTTTTACAACGCCCAATTCTTAAGAAATCTGTTATCGTTCTGCTCAAGCGAAGTAACGCTTTAGTTGAGCTGGACGAATGCGTAAGTAAAGTTTAGGAATTTTCTATATGATACTTCTTATAAAGATTCACCTACAATTCAGCAGGTTTCTATACGCCTGTCTATATTCGATGGACATCACTACGTAAATAATAGGGTTGACGCAAGTAGTCATATAAATCAATACATAACCAACAATGTTAGGTACTGGGTGGGAGGTGAAGTTTTCAAAGATAGTTTTCGTCAACGTTATGGGCAGGTGACATACGAAGAACGACACCATGATGGCTACAATCATAGTGAGAAGTTTCTTGTCCTTTTTCGTGGGCAGGTGGACTTTTGGCGCTGAGCGTCGGAAGGTGCACATGAAACTCTTTCGGAAGTTGCTTATAGACTCAGTACCTAAAGACCGAACCTTAGGTTTTGGAGTGTTCTCCAGTTCTGCTGGCGTAGAATTTTCCATTGATGAAGATAGCTCGCCGCCAGGGTTGAGGAAACAGTTAAAAGGCAGAAGATTGTTACTTGACGTTATCTGAGTTGACAGACTTCGATTCAGTTTAAGGGTCGACTTAGTGTTTTGATTTGTTTTTATCGTACTGATTTCTAAGTCAGAAATTGGCCTCCTATAAATTACATTACGAGATTTGTTGGCAGTTTTCCTTACAATCCACCATATTCTTGCGTAGCACACGATGATTGCTATACTTGGTAGTGCAAATGCGGTCACAAATAGAAACTTTTTCGGTGAATTACAGTTCTCATCGAAAACTATTGTGCAGGAGCCTGTGATTTGGTCTAAGCTAAATCTTCCCCAAACTTCAAAGTATGTTGGCATTAGTAATAGTATCGGCAGCAACCAAATGACTATTATTATCAGACAAATGTAAGTCTTCTTGTATAACCTGTTGACAAAGAAAATTTTTATTCAAACATTTAATTTCATTTTAAATAAATCGTTTTTAGATGAAGGTTTTGGATATTATAAAAAAGTTTAAAATTTTGATTACATTTTATACAGTTGTGATGTGCAAAGAAGTTATTATTAAAATTATATTTCAATTCATTACTATAAGACGAAAAAAAATTAAACATAGGCATGATATTATTGCATATAAGGATAAAAAAAATTTTTTCGATATACAAGATATTATTGCAGATAAGCGAGCAATTTAGGCATGAGGTTCTAGCTTCTCGGCTCTAGGTTACTCGGCTGATAAGCGGGAATTATTCTTACTAAATATTTTTAGTTATTTAGATCTTTTCGTATTTATTTACAACTATAACTCACTTTGCATAAAGTTTCGGATGTGAAACCAAGATGTACCTATTTATTGTGATAGATAGAACAGTAAACAGGGAAACAGCCACTAGTGTGTATTTCGCCATTGGCACCATCCGACATAGAGTCTTTCCATGGATCCAAGATCTCCACATGAACGTTGACGTAGCTAAGGGCAGGATAAAGCAGCTGAACAATAGGTCCGAGAGTGACAAGTTGATGATGAAAACTGCAGTCGCATTGTGAACCTGAGGAACATAAAGGTATTTTAAAATTAAAGGATTAAAGGATTATAATTGTATCTATATTTTTTTGATGGTGGAAACATGCTTGGTTATTTATTGCTTTAGCTATTTTGACGTGAAACATCTATTGCCGCACGTAAAACCGATTTCTGGCATGGCGACGCATGCAGTGGCGACGCGTCACCACGCTATGTGATGGTATATATATACAGTATATGCAGTAGTGTGTACGGTGTGGCGACGCGTCGCCATGCGCAATCGACTGCGATTCTCTCCCACTCGATCTGGCGTTAAGCCATCTCTCTCGCTACACTGAGTTCGGATACCTATAGTGTATACTCCGTAGTGTATAGTGTTGTTTACTATAGTACACATAACCTGTGTTTTACTTGAAAACAAATTATTTTTTCGTAATATTTTATTTTATCATTATGACATATTCAGTTCCTATAACAATCTGTTCTTTTCTGCTTTTACAAAATAATGTCGATGTTTCACATCTGCCAGGCGTCCCGTGACTTTTTTTTTTTAAATATTATGTTGGTATTGTAATGTTGGTTTCCCAACAGTTGAATTTGAAGTCGTCGTGGCCTAAAGGATAAGATGTCCGGTGCATTCGTGTTGAGCGATGCATCGGTGTTCGAATCCGAGGTGGGTACCAATTTTTCTAATGAAATACGTACTTAACAAATGTTCACGATTGACTTCCAAGGTGAAGGAATAACATCGTGTAATGAAAATCAAACCCGTAAAGTTATAATTTGCATAATTACTGGTGGTAGGATAAGAGATCCTACCACGTGAGTCCACGCGGGTAGGTACCACACCCCTGCCTATTTCTGCCGTGAAGCAGTAATGCGTTTCGGTTTGAAGGGTGGGGCAGCCGTTGTAACTATACTGAGACCTTAAAACTTATATCTCAAGGTGGGTGGTGCATTTACGTGGTAGATGTCTATGGGTTTCAATAACCACTTAACACCAGGTGGGCTGTGAGCTCGTCCACCCATCTAAGCAATAAAAATAAATAAATAATCTTTATCAAATCGTTTATTGCGTCCTTAACTGAACATGGGTAAAACAGTTACATATTGTGGTAGGATGAGATGATTAGAACGTGGCTATAAAATTTACATTGGTTTTAAAGCCTACAATGTTTATTTTGTGATTAATAACTATGATAATATTCATTATTAAGTTCTTAAATTTTAGTAAGGCACTAATTGTAAGTGTAATTACACTATTTGGATGACGAGCAAATATGTATGTTAAGAGATGTTTCAAAATGTGAAAATCATAATTTGGACAGAAAATTAATTTTTTTTTTATTGCTTCGATTGGTAGAAGAGCTCACAGCCCACCTGGTGTTAAGTGGTTACTGGAGCCCATAGACATCCACAACGTAAATGCGCCACCCACCTTGAGATACAAGTTCTAATTTCCATGGAAATGCTTCTATTATCATTCCTTTTGTATTCTATATGAATAAAAAGAATTAACATAGATAGGTATTTCGTTCAATGCATGAGTAAGCAATACATGTCATTAAATTTGTGAATCATTGGGTTTAAACGCGTAAATTACAAAGTACTGTGTTGACGTCAATACGTTTGTAATACCTAAGTAAGGAAGCAATTGGTTGATGCATGGTTTTACTTAACTTTCATGAATCGTAATAAGATTGAATACACGTTGGTATAAGTGAATGTACCGATTGATTGATTGTTGTATATTAAATTGGGAATACATTACAATTTTTTTTCTAAAACAAATACGATAAATGACTATAAAAAATACATTATTTTTTGTATTTGTGCTGATGATTATAATATCCGGCTTTGCCGGAATCAATATTCAGCTTTTTTTTTAAAAGTTTTGATTGATCAGATGTGTGGACGAGCTCACGGTCCACCTAGTGTTAAATGGTTACCGGAGCCCATAGACATCTACAGCGTAAATGCCGCCACACACGTTGAGATATGAGTTCTAATGTATTCGTTTGCATGCATCACATTTCATTTATTATCATTCGTTTTATCAGTTTTAAATTAAGGTTTTATTACAGTTTGAGATTTATGTATTCCTTTAGATAATTTCTGTATTGGACAAAATGTTTCAATTTGAATTTATCGTTCGTTGATATGAAATTTAACGACTATGAATCATTCAATGTCTTCGAGTCGGATATTTTATATCATAATTGTTTATACCAATAGAAAGAACAGTTGTTTGTCCTATTCTAATTACTATTTCTGCTTTTCGATGATCGGCTTAGGCATTCAGCGATGACACACTTAAAAATACTTTTACGGTTTAATCTCGCGCTTTTTACGATCATTACATAATTTCAGAAGTTTAAAATACTTTACGGTTTTTAGATTCACGAACGGTTGAGGCGATTCGCCGTAAAAGCAGTTTATATTGTGTCTACAACTACGCAAAAATACTTTTTTTTTCTATTTTTTGTTTCCCTTGTAAGCAGACGAGCATACGGCCAACCTAATGGTGAGTGGTTGCCGTCGCCCATGGACTTCACCAAAGCCAGGGACAGAGCCAGACCGCTGCCTACCGCTTAATACTCTATAACACTCTCCACATACTTTGAAATCGAGTGATACTGGGGCTCGTTGTGACTCGTTATGTCTTTCTACCACTGTTTTGTTTTAATCACGGTTGAGCCTTGAATCTTATTTGTAAAGTTGTAAGGGTATTCGGATTAACATCAATCATATCGCCGGGAAGCAGTAATGCGTTTCGGTTCGAAGGGTGGGGTAGCCGCTGTAACTATACTGAGACCTTAGAACTTATATCTCGAGGTGGGTGGCGCATTTACGTTGTAGATGTCTATGGGCTCCAGTAACCACTTAACACCAGGTGGGCTGTGAGCTCGTCCACCCATCTAAGCAACAAAAAAAAATCTATTATGTCCGGCTTTGTTTCAACCATGGTGTAGTATGAATGCTAGTAGCCGTTATTACTGTAAGGGAGGTTGTGATAGACCTTATGTTTTAAGGTGGGCGGCTATATTTAGCTTGTAGTCTATGTTGTAAACTTATGTTCGGTCTGTAATTGTAGATAAGAGATGATATGAGATGGTATTTGCCCTAGCATTGACCAAGCGCTCTGGAAATTTTACATAGGGGCCAGGCACGATTCAAAAGCTTAGCTATTTGGTTACTTACAATTGAAATTCAGACACGGACAACAACGTATGTACATTATTTGAAACGCCGCATCAATAAATTTCTAATGTTTTAATAGAATGAAACTTGTAATGCTACGTTAACGATTGAAAATTCTTGTTAGTTGCATATAAAGAAAAACTATTCTTACCTTCTTATACCTCATCAGCGCTACGATGGTTAAAAGGTTTCCAGGGATACCAAGAATCATGAATAGCACGCAGCTGACAAAAGCGAACCACAGTAACGCTTCGGGATAGTTCTTGAACAGTTCCACGTTAGCTAACTCCTCGTCAGACTCATAATCTTCCAACCCCATCACCAGATCACTCAAATTTCCACCATTCGTAACGTTATTGTTTAATAAAACCATTTTTCTCGAGATTGCAACACGTCAATCGCACGTCATTAACTCACAAGTATTCTATTACAAATGAATATATGAATCGTCAGGATACTGGATTACTGTTTGTTTTAGTTACGTTTTCCCTGATGATTCAATGCGCCGCCATGGGTACGCTCGAGTTAGATAAATATGAAATGTGCGGTTAAGTTTTGCTTCAAACTTGTTACAATATTTATTTTTTTACGTCTTATGATTTGTCTTAGATTTCAGTTTGTAATGAATAGTGTTCATTAGTCCATCCCTTATCAGTGTTTTATAAAATCAAATGGTCACACAGCCCGAGGCTATTGTTTGAATTCTCGTGTTTGCTTTCACCCTTTCATTTGCGATAATCACGGACGGTTCACGATTACACATAATAAGTAGCTACGCACAATTCTATTTACACAGAACGTCCCTTATCGATCTATTTCATATATAATAACGAGGTTCGCGCATACACATAATATAAATTACTTTAATATTTAGAAAAGAGTTTTTTTTTATTCAACACACACTTGCGCCGGTAGCGTTAATTGTTCGTGGATGCTGTTCAAGCAGTCCAGTGAGTGAGGACTAGTCACGGCGGACGCTTTTCAGATGCGCCATCGCCGGGTGAGCGTCACGCCCAGCGACGACACATAAGCAGGTTCTTGTACGCCTGACGGTACTCACTGGACATCACTACGTATATTATAGGATTGATGCACGTTGTTAGGTATATTAGGATGTAGCCGGCGATGTTCGCGGCAGGATGCGATGTGAATTCTCGAAATATTTTCGTCAATGTTATTGGTAGGTAGCACACCCAGAACGATAACATAATCGCCATGATCATTTTGAGAAGTTTCCTGTCTTTGGTTGTTAGACGAGGCGGTCGCACTGAGGCTGGCGATTTTTTAAGAGCGGTCGCAGCTTGTTTGAGCCGTTTCGAAGTTTCACTGCCGCTCGGTGTTCGGGGTTTGGCATCGAGGGCGCATTCTTCGTCGTGTCCATCTAGAGTATCTACGCCCGAGGAGGAAGACCGTTCTGGTCCTGGTGTTGGAGGATAGTGTAGGGCTGGGGGTGCAAGTAACGCTCGTTTAGGTGCCGAATTATGATTGTGGTGCGTAACTCCGTTTTCCGGTCCGGGTGATCGCTCTAAGGCTGTCGATGCCGACCCAACGGCAGAATCTTCTAGAGCAGGTCTGGTCCGACGAACCGGTGCCCGGGACTTTCTCGCTGCGTCGCGTACTATACAAAATATCCTGGCATAGCAAATCACGATGGCTAGACAAGGAAGCATGAAAGCGCCGACAAACAGGAATTCCTTCGGAGATCGATTATTGCGGTCTGGAAGTATAGAGCACGAGCCGATTGAGGGGTCAAGGCCGAAACGTCCCCATTTTTCTAACCACGTCGCTATAAGGGCTCCGAAGGAGAATGCCCAGGTGCTTCCCACCATAATCGCCAAATATTTACGACGGTACAACCTGAGAAAAGAAAAAAAAAATTACGGTGACGTCATTTATAAAGCAGAATGTGGTAGTTGTCTTTATGAAGACAATTTAGAGTTCAATATTGTTATCTATACTAATATAAATCTACAGTGGTTTTTAGGGATGTTCCGTTATAACTACTGAACCATGCATCCGATTAACTTGAAACTTGGTAACCATATAGAAAATACATGTACTTAATGGATAGGCTAACATTTATATGAATTTTGGACTCTCTAATAATAATGACAATAAATAATATTGTTAATTTTAAATACCCAGCGAAGCGGGTGAGTACGGCTAGTTCAATGATATAAAGAGTGACATGAAAATGTGGATTACTTGATCGAAATAAGATACATACTTGGGGTATAGCCTTGGATGAGAGATCATTACGTATCTGTTGATAGTGATAGCTAAAACGGTGAAGAGTGATACAGCCACCAATGCGTATCGCGCCAATGGAAACATTCTGCATAAAGTTTTCCCATGGGCCCACGATCGCCTCCAGAAGGTTGATGCAGCAAGTGGTAGATTGAAGCAGCAAAACAGAAGGTCAGAGCACGATAGATTCATAATAAACACCGCTGTAGCGTTTCGCACCTGTAAATTGAGAAAAACATGTAGAGAGAGAGAGAGAGAGTGAGGGAGAGAGAGAGTGAGGGAGAGAGAGAGTGAGGGAGAGAGAGAGAGAGAGTATTCTTTATTGTACACTAACAAAGAAATAAACAGTGCGATACATTAAATACAAAAAAACGTACAATTGGCGGTCTTGTCACTAAGAGCGATCTCTTCCAGACAACCATCAGATGGACAAGAATCATTTGGAAACTAATTACGCACTGTGTACTAATCCAGTGATATGTATATATATACACATATATAGTGAAATACATATACATATACTCACATACATACATATATCCGTAAATATACATAAATTAATATACAATGTAATTTAATAATAATAACTAAAAATAAAAAAAAAAATAGTAGTAGCCATAGTAGCATTTAATAGTAGCCATGTTCATGTCTTCAAACGGATATACCTAATATATTCCCCAATAGTCATATTTATTATTTTTCTTTTTCATTTAAAAACTAGATGTTTTTTAAGACGAGTGATTTCAGTCACCTCTGACGTCATAATTCAAAGTAATAATTGACGTTCACTACTAGCTGCGGTTTAAAGTTCAAATTACAATAGCAATTTTAACTTGTGTTGGGACCTCTTGTGAGTCCGCACGGGTAGGTACCATCACCTAGCTTATTTCTGCCGTGAAGCAGTAATGATTTTCGGCTTGAAGGGTGGGACAGCCGTTGTAACTATACTGAGACCTTAGAACTCATTTATCAAGGTGGGTGGCGGCTTTTACGTTGTAGATGTCTATGGGCTCCGGTAACCGCCTCACACCAAGTGGAGCGTGAGGTCGTCCGCCCACATAAACAGTAAAAAAAATATATGTCTATAAAAACAAAAAAAATATAAATATTATTAAAATCAGTTTGAGATTTTGTAACGATGTAATCTTTATTTAAATATTTAAATAGCGCATATTTATCTATGTATGTATCTCTGAAATATTTTCTTATCACATTTATTTACCTGTCCGACAGAATGATGCCCTCGAGATAAAGTCTGCGAAGTTTAATAATATTTGTAAAGGGATTCATATTGGACAACGTTGCTGTTACACTGGTTCATTGTTAACAAGTCATGAGTTCATATTTTGTTCAGTTATGTTTACTTATTAAAATATAAAAAGGAAATGCGAGTAGGCAACCCTGGCCACCATTACGACTAATGTGTAGCAACGGCCGTCTGGTGTAGTGGTAAGTGACATGGTCACTACACAAGGGGGTCGCGGGTTCGAATCCCGCCAAGGGAAGATATTTGTATGATAAATATAAAATGTCTTTTCCAGGGTTATAAATAAATAAATAAATATAAATAAATATATATGTGTATAATAAAAATCTTACATTTATTTCCGTTATCTGGTACCTGTAACACAAGTTCTTTACGAACTTATCACGGGACCAGTTAACGTGGCGTGATTGTTATAAAAAAAAAAGTTTCTCTAACTCAGTAACTTATAGACCCAGGCATACCGTTCCTTTGAAGTCAGTTCATGTTTCTTCTAGTACTAACGGGACAATGCTAAGAATCAGAAACTTTCCTAGCAAAATTATCACTAATTATCAATTTATTTATAAACTTGATATTTGAATTCATTCATAAATTCATTCGGGAACTCCCCAATCTAAATTTACGTTGCACTCAAAAAGCGAAAATTCTTTGATGGGTTAGTTCCAAAATTTAATCAAGTATATTTTTTGATATCTTATCATTTATAATATTAAACAGTATTTAGTCATAAAGATTAGTCACCTTTTTACATCGTGCGAGGGCGATGATAGTAATCAGGTTTCCAGGAATACCGACCAGCATAAAAAGTACGCAGCATGCCGAAGCGAATCTCAGCAGAGGCTCCGGGTAATCCTTGAAGAGCTCCACGTCAGCCAACTCCGCGTCCGATCTGTACTCGTCCAGTCCCAGAATTCTACCCCCACTATAATTCCCCCCCTCTGTGACACTCGCGAAAGTACTCTTCGGTATACTCGGGAATAGATCGCCCATTGTAACTTGCGACAAACACTCATCATCCCATACAGGAAACTTTTAGTGTATTTTTGACGCTTAGACGACTAGGTGAGGACGCGTGCGGGTTTTGTCCACGACTGATAACTATCCCAGAGCTGCATCGGTTCGGTCAGTGAGAGACTGGGAATAGTCGAGTGATAAGACATTTTTGATGAGTGAGGTTATCGGGTCACAGCTGCTCAGGAAGTGAGGCCATTATCGGAGCGTCGCCGCGGTCGGTTCCACTGTTCCAGTATCTGTGGAGATAAATTAGAATCGTTATTACGAATGCAAAGTAAATAAATTTATTTGTTTCGTAAATTAAATGACTGACGATCGTAATGACTGTTCATTTGTTTAAACAATTGAGATAATTTGTTTTAACGCTTTACTGAATCTTATACCTTTAAATTCTTGTATATAAATATATATAATCTGATTCTCGGAAACGGCTCTAACGATTTTTATAAAATTTAGTATACAGGGGATTTCGGGGGCGATAAATCGATCTAGCTACGATTGATTTTCAGAAAAAGTTGTTTTATTCGTGTTTTCAATAATGAACTTAAACATAAACTTTTTTTTTTATTGAAAGAAAATAACAAATAATATAATAAAACATCAATATGTAGTTAGTATTGAAATATAATTTCTAAAAAATACAATTTATCTTAATTCCTCTACGAGTAGTAATGTCATCCTCTAGTAATGTATAATAGTTTAAATTCGAAACAACTAAAATTTGCATGGGTTTTAGAGTTGAAGCATTCAAAGTTTGTGAAGATAAATTGAAAATGTTGGTTTACGGATGTAACCGCTATTAGATTGTAATCCAGAATCCCGCACCGTATCCCCGACATTGAGTAATCGATCGGGAACACGGAGGCTGTCTTGTTTCCGACAGTTCCGATCGTGGTAACGGATAATTTTGATTTCNCGAAACAACTAAAATTTGCATGGGTTTTAGAGTTGAAGCATTCAAAGTTTGTGAAGATAAATTGAAAATGTTGGTTTACGGATGTAACCGCTATTAGATTGTAATCCAGAATCCCGCACCGTATCCCCGACATTGAGTAATCGATCGGGAACACGGAGGCTGTCTTGTTTCCGACAGTTCCGATCGTGGTAACGGATAATTTTGATTTCTAAGCACAACTTCGGCGTCGGCGGCGTCAAGTGATTAATTGAAATTAACCGGTGTGAAATTTATCGGAGTTTAGAATCGATGAGAATTTTGATTTGATTATTCTTTCTTATATTATTTAGTTTTTCGTAAACAATAATTAACGGTTTTAAAAGTTCGGACATTAAATTAAATGATTTGATTCAATTTGACATTAAATAAATTGAATTGATTAAGTGATCTTGTAGACCTGAAATCATAATCCATGCTAATTAATTAGTCAAGCCATTTTTAATATTAAAGGTTTATGATACACTTATGAATTATGTAACTAAGATTCTTTTTTGAATGAAATTCGAGCATAAATACGTCACGATTAAAATTCATTTTTTAAGCTACATTTCAGAAGGTAAAAGAATGTAGTAGGTATATTTTTATTGATGTATTAAAGCCCATCAATATATTAATTAAAAACAGACTGGCAGAAGTTAAGGGTATTGAAATATTTGTTGTTGTCTATTATATACAGGTTTGGTAATTTTTAAAAGTGTATAAAAAATTGCGAAATGATCTTCATAAATTTTTACGCGCTAATGACAGATCTCGTGACGAACATATGGCCTACCTGATGATAAGTAGAGATCGTTAGTTATAGACTCAAGCAATACTAGGGGTCCCTCAAAGTCGTTGCCCACCGATGAAGCCTCTTTTCAAGCTTCATTCAAAGTGTGATATGCCGAAGTACTCCATAAATACCATGCATTCTAGTTCGCTGATTAGTAAAGCCTCATAAAAATTCAAATGAAGGCTAAAAATTGATTTTTTACTGGTGGTAGTACCTCTTGTGAGTCCGCACGGGTGGGAAACCACCACCCCGCATCTTTCTGTCGTGAAGCAGTAATGCGTTTCGGTTTGAAGGGCGGGGCAGCCGTTGTAACCATACTGAGAACTTAGAACTTATATCTCAAGGTGGGTGGCGCATGTACGTTGTAGATGTCTATGGGCTCCAGTAACTACTTAACACCAGGTGGGCTGTGAGCTCATTCACTCATCTAAGAAAAAAAAATGTTTGATTTCAAATCTTCGAAATATCTAATTACAAGTATTTTTTCGTATTGAAAAAAATAATCTAATATCCTGTAATTGAGTAGGTACACGTGTTAAGCTAAATAAATAAAAAGTTATAAATCTAATAATAAAATTGTTGTGTTTATTTATTTTGCCGTTTATTTCGACCTCAAATTACGTTATATACAATTAAATTGTGTTCAGTCGAAATTCTATGCTGCGCGGTAATTGTAATAAATTAGAGAGGCATTCTCGTAAATCTCATCACATGGGATAATTGCTGGAAGATGTGTTACATACGTAATTCGGTAAATGAGTTCGCAAATTTGCGTCGAAACTAGTATTATGCCCAAAAAGCAGGGTTAAGGGCCATGTTGACCTGTTATCCAGCCCACGCAGGCTATTCAAATCGTCACCCGCGTCAACCCTGAATTGTGTCAACCCTCGTTCCTGGACGTCAAAGGAAATGTCCGAGAATTGATCCGAAAAAGCATTCTAAGTGTAAACCTGAACATTGATATCTTTAAAAAAAAATACATGTGTGCAATTCACACGTGGTAGAAGTGAAACCTTCCAAAATTAAAATACAATTATCCTAAACGTCTTAAGTATATGTAAAATTTTGTCATTAGTAAATAATTGTAAGGTAGCGCCCTCTGTGAGTTGATATTTTAATTTCACGTATAATCCTAAATTAAAATTCACTACAAGAGCTTTCATACACACGTTAGTATTAAAAAATCTCACAGATGGCGCTGTATTAAATAGTATGTATATTTCTGTCTCATTCTTTGCTGGCTTCATCCTACACATTTTTGTATTTGTGTCTCTTACCTGTCGTTTTTTCCGTTGCATCCGGTTTGAAATCACAANAAATTAAAATTCACTACAAGAGCTTTCATACACACGTTAGTATTAAAAAATCTCACAGATGGCGCTGTATTAAATAGTATGTATATTTCTGTCTCATTCTTTGCTGGCTTCATCCTACACATTTTTGTATTTGTGTCTCTTACCTGTCGTTTTTTCCGTTGCATCCGGTTTGAAATCACAACGATTCTAAAGAAGTTTTTACTTCAAAAACCGATATTTTATTCTTAAATTTCACGCTCACAGCTATCACATGACAGTATAAGCCTCTTTAGCATTTGGCGGGTCTATACAGAGAGAAAAAAAACATAAGAAAAAATGGTGTTCGTACTTCCGATCTTTGTGGCGAAGCTTGGGGGAAGCCTATGTCCAGTAGTGGACGTCTGTGGGCTGATAGAATAGAATAGAAATACTTCAAGTTACTTAGAACAATAATTACAAAAATGACTGACTCTGTAGTGCAGTAGTTTGTAGTTTTTACTGGTGGTAGGTCCTCTTGTGAGTCTGCACGGGTAGATACTACCACCCTGCCTATTTCTGCCGTGAAACAGTAATGCGTTTCAGTTTGAAGGGTGGTGGGCCAGCCGTTGTAACTATACTGAGACCTTAGAACTCACATCTCAAGGTGGGTGGCGGCATTTACTTTGTAGATGTCTATGGGCTCCAGTAACCACTTAACACCAGGTGGGCTGTGAGCTCGTCCACCCATCTAAGCAATAAGAAAATTAAAAAAACTTAGTGCCTCTGACTATTGCGCCCAGGGTCGTGAGTTCGATTCCTACATCGGGCAAACATTGTTGTGATGAACAGATTTATTCGCTCTTTTTTTGGGCGTGTATTATCTATATATGTATATATTTAAACGTATATAAGTATGTATATCAGTCTCTGGTAGACATAACACAGGGAATCATAATTTGGGAACCGATGACCTTGCGTGATTTGTTCCCTGTTATTTATTTACATAAAAATGTTTATTTCTACGTATGTTTTCTTTTTCGAAAATTTAACGCCTTAATTAGTATATTTCTTCAACATGGCTAAAAGGTCTAATCATATTCAATCAAACTGATAAAATTATCAGTCAGACGATGTTCTCGGTCACATCACCCCACTGATAAATGTTATCACTTCACTATTGCCTAATTTTTGAATTCAAAATCAATGTTACAAACGTTATGGTCAGTCGAAAAATATCTGTAATCTTTTAAGAAGGGAATAATATATTGAGTTATTGTATGCAATATATTGCATATTGCAACTAAGGAAATTGTAAATATAAATTTGAATCAATTTAATTATGACATTTTTATGTTAATAGACAGAAATGCTCTTCATAATTATCATCGTTTTATTCACATTTCATTTCATCATTCAGAGTAAGTCTAGGCGTAATTTCATTTTAGATCTTATAATGTACGTTATATTTAGTTCAAATGAGGTTCTTATAGTAAAAGAATGGAATTAAACAAAACAACGTCTGTCGGGTCAGCTTACAATAGTTACAATAAAACTCAGAATGGCATCCATCATAAAAAATATTTAAATGATAATTTTGTTGTAATATTATTCATTTAATTTTAATTACATTAGATTAGCATAAGATCTAACTTAGATTGAGCATAATATAATTATTTTGTACGCCTATTACGACAGGGTAGGTTCAGTCTAATGTTAAAGTTTGTTTAATACAAATCTAAAATTAAAATTAAACCCACGTTAAACACATGTTTTAAAAACGAAATACTCGTATATAATTTCTTTCTATTTTTTTTTATTGCCCTTGTAGGCAGACGAACATACGGCCCACCTGATGGTGAGTGGTTACCGTCGCCCATGGACTTCAGCAATGCCAGGGGCAGAGCCAAGCCGCTGCCTACCGATGGTCTAACAATGTTTATAGTAACGTGTCAAAGGCATCTGATAAGTGAACATAAATTAAATTAAAGTGTTTCTGTAGCAACCTAGTAGCTATTAAAGAATACCAGAAATTATAAAAAATCTTAATCATGCTTATGACTTAGTAATGGTCGGTAAGTTTGTTAAATAAACTTAATAATTTTTCGGATTACAAATTTCGGATTGTCGGTTTCCCGACCACTAACAGCTAATCAGTGAAAGATTTATTCCTGCGTAGCAATCGTTTGCTATTTTTTAGTTCTACTTACATCAATACTAGACTTAAATTCC